CTTAGGTGATATGAATATACAGTAAAGGAAATAATGGGGGATACAGCTGAAAAGGATAACTGAAGTCAACTATTGCTCTCAATGTAAGGCAGAAGAATCTTTATATAGTTTGAAGATCAGTAAGAATGCAAGTGAAGGGTTTTGACTTGTTAGAACCACAAAATACATTACAACTAATCTGGAGTTGTATACAAATACAAAGCTACTTCCAAAGTTCAGGCAAAAGGCATTAAAGGTCTGAAAAAGAGTGGTGTCAAGAAAAAGGCTACACAGGCATATCTCGTTTTACTGCTCTTTACTGGGGTTTTATTTTTTGAACAAATTCAACGCCTATGGCAACCCTCTGTCAAGTAAGTCTATTGGCACCATTTTTCCAACAGCATTTGGTTACTATATGTCTCTGTCACATTTGGTAATTCTCACAATATTTCAAGCTTTTTCCTTATTATATTTGTTATGATGACCTGTGATGTTACTGTTACATGTTTGGGAGCCAAGAACTGTATGTATCTAAGAAAGCAAATTTAACTGATAAACATGATTAAGCTTACTGAAGAAGGCATGTCAAGAGCTGATGTAGGCTGAAAGCTAGGCTTCTTGCACGAGTTAGCCAAATGTGAATGCAAAGGAAAAAAGTCTTGAAGGAAATTTAAAATGCTACTCTAGTAAACACATAAATGATCAGAAAGTGAGACAGCTTTATTGATGATATGGAGAAAGTTTAGCAATCTGGATAGATCAAAGCAGTCACAAGGTTCTCTGAAGCCAAAGTCTAATCTAGAGCAAGGCCCTAACTCTCTTTAATTCTGTGGAGGGTAAAACATGAGAAAGCTGCAGATGAGAAGTTTGAAGTTAGCAGAAATTGGCATGAGGTTTAAGGAAAGAAGTCATCTCTGTAACACAGAAATCAAAAGTGAAGTAATAAGTGCTGATATAGAAAGTGCAGCAAATTAGCCAGAAGATCCAGCTAAGATCATCAATGAAGATGGCTGCACTAAACAACAGATTTTAACCTTGTATTGGAAGAAGATGCTGTCTAGGACTTTTATAGCTAAGGAGGAAAAGTCAATGACTGGCTTCATGCAATTAGGGACTTAAAGTTGAAGCCAGTGCTCATTTACCATTTCAGAAACCTGAGCAACCCTTAAGAATTGTGTTAAATCTACTCTGCCTGGGCTCTATAAGTGAAACAACCCTAGAGGACAGCACATTTGTTCTGAATTATTTTAACCTCACTGGGAAAGCAACTCAGAAAAAAAGATTCCTTTCAAAATGCTACTGCTCAATGACAATGCACCTGGTCACCCAAGAGCTCTGAGATGGAGATGTACAAGATTAATGTGGTTTTTTTGTAGTGTTTTTTGCCATACATTGACATGAATCAACCATGGATTTACATGTGTTCCCCATCCTGAACCCCACTACTCCCTCCTTCCCCATCCCATCCCTCTGGGTCATCCCAGTGCACCAGCCCTGAGCACTTGCCCCATGCATCCAACCTGGACTGGCGATCTGTTTCACACTTGATAATATACATGTTTCAACTCTATTCTCTCAGATCATCCCACCCTCGCCTTCTCCCATAGAGTCCAAAAGTCTGCTCTATACATCTGTCTCTTTTTCTCTCTTGCATACAGGGTTATCGTTACCATCTTTCTAAATTCCATATATATGCGTTAGTATACTATATTGGTGTTTATCTTTCTGGCTTACTTCACTCTGTATAATGTTGTTTTCAGTCTGTTAAATAACATCCATTGTGCAACTTATGGGTCAAGGAGTAACTCTGATTTTCAAAGTCTTATTATTTAAGAAATATACTTCCTAAGGTTAAAGCTGTTCTTGATAGTGATTCCTCTGATGGATCTGAGAGAAGTAAATTGAAAACCCCCCTGGTAAGGATTCACCATGAAGATACCATCAAGAACATGTGTGACTCATGAGAAGCGTCATCAACATTCACAGGAGTTTGGAAAAAGTTGATTCCAACCTTTATGAATGACTTGAAGGAGTTAAAGACTTCAGTGGAAGAAGTTACTGCAGATGTGATGGAAGTAGCAAGAGAACTACAATTAGAAGTGGAGCCTAAAGATGTGATTGAATTGCTGCTCCTGCTTCTGCTAAGTTGCTTCAGTCGTGTCCAACTCTGTGCGACCCCATAGACGGCAGCCCATCAGGCTCCCCCATCCCTGGAATTCTCCAGGCAAGAACACTGGAGTGGGTTGCCATTTCCTTCTCCAATGCATGCAAGTGAAAAGTGAAAGTGAAGTCGCTCAGTCATGTCCAACTCTTAGCGACCCCATGCACTACAGCCCACCAGGCTCCTCTGTCCATGGGATTTTCCAGGCAAGAGTACTGGAGTGGGGTGCCACTGCCTTCTCTGATTGAATTGCTACAACCTCGTGAAAAAACTTGAACAGACGAGAAGCTGCGTCTTACGGATGAGTAAAGAAAGTGGTTTCATGAGATGAAATCTACGGAAGATGCTGTGAAGATTGCTGACATGACAATAAAGGATTTAGAATATTATATAAACTTAGCTGATAAAGCATTGCTGAAATGACAATAAAGGATTTAGAATATATAAATTTAGTTGATAAAGCAGTCGCAAGGTTTGAGAGGACTGACTCCCATTTTGAAAGAAGTTCTACTCTGGGTGAAATGCTATCAAATAGCATTGCATGCTACAGAGAAACCATTTATTAAAGGAAGAGTCAATGGATGTGGCAAACTGCATTGTCTTATTTTAAGAAATTGCCACAGCCACCCTAACCTTCAGCAACTACCACTCTGGTCAGCAGTCCTCAATACCAAAGCAAGACCCCCTCCAGCAAAGGAATTACAACTTGCTGAAGGCTCAAATGATAATTAGCATCTTTAAGCAACAAGTTATTTTTAAATTAAGGTACCTGTGTTAGTCGCTCAGTTGTGTCCAATTCTTTGTGACCCCATGGGCTGTAGCTTGCCAAGCTTCTTTTGTCCATGGAATTCTCCAGGCAAGAATACTGAGTGGGTTGCCATTCCCTTCTCCAGGGGATCTTCCTGACCCAGGGATCGAACCCGGGTCTCCTGCACTGCAGGCAGATGCTTTACCATCTGAGCCAGCAGGGAAGCCCAATGAAGGTGCATACAGTGGGCTTTTTATGTTGATACAATGTTACTGCATACTTAATAGACTACAGTATAGTGTAAACATAACTTTTACATGCACCAGGAAGCCAAAAAGTTAATGTGACTTGCTTTGTTGAGATATTCGCCTTATTCCAGTAGTCTGGAACCTAACTAACAACATCTCCTAAGTATACTGGTAGCTTCATGATTTTTTAAAAGGTTAAAAACCAATAATAATAAAGAGTTTAAAGTTAGCTGACTAAGAGAATTACATATTAAGAAACAGGAATGTTAAGCAAAGTGGACAGGCAGAAGAAAGTAAGTTTGGCTTTTGACATTTTAAGTTAGCTGTGAAAGTGAAAGTCGCTCCATCGTGTCCAACTGTTGTGACCCCATGGACTATACAGTCCATGGAATTCTCCAGGCCAGAATACTAGAGTGGGTAGCCTTTCCCTTCTCCGAATCTCCCCAACCCAGGGATCGAACCCAGGTATCCCAAATTGCAGGCAGATTCTTTACCAACTGAGCTATCAAGGAAGACCCGAAGTTAGCTGTAGGTGAGATTTATATAGAGATGTCCAGCAGGCAAAGGGAAATACAGACCTAAGTACAAGAATTCAGAACTAGAGACACAGATTTGGGAGTCCCTATATAAAAAAGTAGAGCTTTGGAAGGAAAAGCCCACTGAGGAATACACTTTGCTATAGAGCAAGCAGCCAAAATCAAGAACTTTGGAATATAAGAAAACTTCTGCCTGAAAATAAGACAGAAGGAAAATTTAGGAAATGGAGAAAGGAAGAGTACAGTGGCACAAAGATCCCTTAGGAAGAAAAAGTAGATTTGAAAATGAATTCTAAATGTTATAAAGTTGGGGGTACACAAGAGAATGGAGCACTAAATGTGGTATGTTTTTATGTTATTCTTCCCTCTTTTATCAGTGACCTCTTCCTATCTTTGTACTGGATGATTTTCATCAGCATACCACTATACTCTGGCCTGAGTCATCTAATAAAAAGCAAGCAACTAAACATACATGTTCCCTTATCTCCTCACTCCCTTCTATGACTGTGCTGCCTTCTGTTCCCATCATCGCCACGTATCTTTTGCTGTCCATCTAGGTTGTCTTTACTGTCTCATTCACTTTTCATTGCTCAACTGTGAACCTGGCTTCCAATAGCAACTACCACGCTACTGAAACTGCTTTTCAAGTATATGTAGCCAAATCCAATTCTTACCATACCTGGTTTACCAAGCAGCAGTAATTAAGAAACCCTGGACAAATCACCTAATTTTTGAGACTAATTTTTCATTTATCAATGAGGGAGAAAAGACTCTATTAAATAACCTACAAATTTGGGTTCAAATTTAAGGTTTTATAATAGTAAATTTAATTATAAAATATTCCTTAAAATGTGAAGCTAAGTGAGAGAGTTGCATTTGTCTGTTGAAATAGTTTACCCCTACTTTATTGAGGTATGATTGACAGATAAAATTTTATATCTTTAAAATATACATGTGATCATTTGATACACATTTGATACATATACATTGTGATGTGATTACCACAATCGAATTAATTAACGCATCTGTCCCCTCAAATAGTTTTTGGGGAGGGAAAGAGGGGACTGTCTTGAAATATTAAATGGGAATGAAAAGAAAAGAAGGTCACTTTCACTTTCTTCATATGTGGGCTGCAGATGGCCATCTAGTTAGATATTATCTGTATTTTCCCTCCACCCTACATAAATTTCCATTTCTCTTCAAGTGTCTTTGGATGACATTTTCCATTTTAATGATTAGAAGTCATAAATCAGCCTCTTGTTGGTGTTTTTATGTTATAAATTGTTTTGTGGCCATTCTAGATTTCAAAGTCAAATCTAACTACTTACCAATGAAGTTTCTGTAATTCTTTCTTATTCCATTCCTCATCCTGAGTAAGACCAGGCAAACATTCCAAGGAATACCTGTTTGTCTTACAAGATCCCATTTTCTCGGTATTTGGAAGTTCATTACCAACATCAGGTTTCTGAAGATTTTCTTTAGCAGAACATTTAGCTTTCTTTTGTTTCATATAAAATTCATTTTCACTTTCTTCAGTTTCAGATTCAGACATCACTGGGATTGTCTTTGTTTTTCTTGTGCTTTTTCTCTGGTGAACCACTATTTCTTTGTTATTTATTGCTCTGGTTTTCTTAACAATCTCAGTTTTCCTTCTAAATTTCTTTCCTTTTTCACTTTCTTCATTAGACATATCTGGTGAGGACTGATGCTTGTCAAATGACACAGTTACTTGATTTTCAATTTTCTTCAGTTTTGATAACCTTGTATTTTTCTTAAAGTCAGAGGTGACCGTTTGTTCCTTTTTAGGACTGGGTATTTTTATTTTGTTGTTGACAGTGAGGAAATCATGTTCAAAACAATCTTCCGTATTTTCACTATTACGGCCCACACTACACTCAAATGTACCTTCTAAAGTCTTTGTGGGCTTACTGACTGGACTTGTAGTTTCATTTGAGTCTGTTTTACTTTCTTTTTGAGGCTTTCCCAATGCAAATTCTGTTACTGCTTTAATGGAGTCAGATGACAGATTATAGTTCATGCATTTTTTCTCTATAATTTTTTTAGATTTAAGTGGTGTCACTAAAATACAAGGTTTCTTCTGATTAACAATCATATATTTTCTTTCTTCATCTGTGAAAAACTGTTCCTTTGATGTTAGAATATCAATGGATACTTTGGATTCTTTAGTTCTCTCTTTAATTTCATTAAGACAAAACCAAAGATCAAAATTTCAAATTAGTAACAAAATATAGAAAAAAAAATTCCACAAATATACTGTTTTTTTCCCCCCACAAACTCCATTTTACACACTTTACTGTCAAATTAAGCTTCCTGAAGCACTGGTCTGTTCAGACCACTGCCCCTTCAACTGTTAACATTTATTAATTTCTATACCAATCTGTCCATATGTCTCACAGTATACTTAATGTACATAGCTCCTCTCACTGGTCTTTATCAATATAGTTCTAATTGCTCACTGTACTCAATGTGAATGACATTCCATTAATTCACTGTTTCTCAACTTTCATTAATCTTATTCACTCTACTTGGAAAATTTCCTCCACCTACTATCTACTTCAGTTCTGTCCTATAACCTGCTTCATTTCTGTTTTCCAACTCACCTATCCACAAACTTTGTCCTGATTCCCTCAACTGAATGAAAGCTTTCCTTCAAATTTCCAGAATACTTTCAAATAATATCATGTTTGATAATGTGCCCTGTGTTATAATTATATACTTGTCTTTCAACTGAAAAAAATTCTTAATGGTAAGAACTTTGTTTTTACTTTTGACTTGAAAACCACCTGGGTTACTAAAACCTTACTAGGTATAAAATATATGGAACAGAAACTATCCTAGTTAAGGAGAGTTAGAAAAACATGGAGCTCCATCTGCATGGCCCCATTCTCATCACTAGTGGAGGCCACAGAGATACATTTTTGCTGAATCCCCCAAAGCTCCATGAAGAATCATGGGATAACAACAAAAACAGGTCTTGAGAAAACAAATCTTATACTGTGTCATTGGCTAAAGAAAGCAAATTAAAATGAGAGAAAGTCTCCAGTTTGAAACTTAAGAAACCAGAAGCCACACCCACTTAATTTCTAACTTTAAATTATACAATTATAAATATGTACAAGCTTTAAATCATCATACCAACCATCATAGTTAAATACTCTAACAACCTACACATACTGTCTGCCATTTTACAAGATGAATGGCAAAATGAAAGACTTTGGGGAAATACCGAATGCTGGGAAAAAAGGAATCTCTAAATGATAGTTCATGGAGAAGTGACACTAATCAAAAGTAATCAAGGAAGTTACTATATGATTTCTCAATGGAATCATATATTTCTTTCTAATTCCTCATATAAACATGATTCAAATGTTCAACTGGAAATGTGAAAATTCTGAACTTTCTAATTTTGAACACAGCCTTTTTATTCTGAATATTCTTATTCATTTTATTAAATAATTTTAATAAAGATTCAGACCATTCTGGATACTTCAACCTAAGCGGTATGAAGTTGGTAGCGTAAGTAGTATTGTTGCCTCTTTACTTCTTTAAAAACTTACAAATGTTCCTCACTTCATTTCTTTTCATTTAGAAGTAGTAAGAAAAAAAAATGCCATTAAGCAGATGGATTTAACTCAATATGAAATTTTAAACTTGCTAATGTGTAGAGAAAAGGCTCTTTAAATTCTGATAGGCAGGATTTCAATGAAATTACTCTGAAAATCCATATTTACACAAAATTAAGTTACGGCATTAATTTCATAGAAGTCTGTACTTCAAGATGCACAATGGATGGTCCTTGCTCTTGAGATTATTACAGTATGGTGAAGGAGGCTGACATTACAATCATTTATAATAATACTATCAGGTATATTATATATAATAGTAGAGATAAAGCACTTTAATAGCAATACTAAACATATAGATTACAACACAAAATATGCAAAACAAAACTTTAGGTAAATCATTAAAATATATATATACACAATTACATCATCTTAAATTATCGTTGACTGGCACCTTTGCATAACCTTAGTTGTTTAATGTTAGATGTGTTGTTTTTTTAACATATATTTTAGTGGTTTTCCCATGGAAAGTATAATGATAATAAAAATAATAGCAGCATCAACTACCACCATTCAAAATAACATATGTGACAAGAGGACATTGAATGTCTTAATAGTTTCATAAAACAATGATTTAATGAATCACAGTGGAAAAATGATACATCCAAAACAGATTGCAGTATTATCTTCCCCTACAGTGAGCTTCTCAAGGAGAAGCATCTCATTTTATTTATCTCTGAGTTCCTAATAGCTAACATAGATCAAGGTTCATAGAAGATACTTTAAAAATGTCTGTTTAATGATTTTCCTATGAACACAGCTGGCATGTAAAATGGTTTACCAAATTTTAGTCTTTTACTTTGTAGTCTCAAATATTTTACCAATAATATTCACAATTTAACTCAAATTCCTGAAAAACAGTACTATAAGTGAAAGGAAGGAATGGAGGTAGGGAGATGATAAGACCTAAGACTAAAAAAGAATAATAAAGTTAGATATACTTTTAGGGATTTTTTAATTTGGGAGTAAAAAAATACATACCAGGTGCTATAGCCCCAGGACTCCAAAATATTGAAGATGGTTTTAGCAATGACAATAAGCAATATGCCTAATTTATAAGAAATAGGATGACTTGATAAAATGAAGAAGAGTTGAGAAGGAACTGGAGCTACAGTTAAGGAGCGAATTTTGCAAGCATTCATCCGTGTATTTAATTTATTCCTTTCTCTGTACTAGAAAGGGTAAGCATAGTTTCAGTGGGGACAGGGGAGTAGGTTGTGGTAGGAGTAAAGGAATAACATACAGGTACATCTACATCCAGTATGGGGTTATGTTTTTGGCAGAAGCAGTCCTGAACTCTTGAAGTTCTGTAAAGCTCTTTGTTATAAGGTCAAGGTAGAAATGGCCTAAATTTATACAACATGGTCTAGTAACTTTTACTCATTATATTATCTAGAAAAGGCTGTAAATACTCTATTTCATCTTGGGGTTGGGTGGATGTGAGGCAGATTATAGTTCTGGTAAAGAACGGACACAGAACAGAAAATACATGTCATTTCCTCCATGAAAGCATATTGGTTTTGTCTATTAATAGGAATAATATTTAGCACAAAAATATAGGTATCTGTAATATAGGTTTGAGGCAAGCTGGCAGCCTAAAACCTTGCATTTAGAAAACTGAAACAACAATCATCTTTCACTGCTGTGTTTATCAGTGTCCTTGATACTGATTAATTAAAAGGAATTAATTAATGAAGTAGGCTGAATGCTGACTATAGGTGATTGCAGTTTCTCCTCTTAACTAGTGAAAAAAATGGAAATTTTGGGGCAGTATAAGTCAAGGACTCAGTACTATATACACTGTAAACAATTAAACAATGTGGAGCTCATTTAAAAATATACCACAATATGAACAAAAGAAAAGAGCAAACATACCCAAAGAATCACAGTCAAGGTCATAAGTGATGGTGGTTCTTTGGAGGACATCTGGTTTTGTTTTCCTCGCATCATTTTTCATTGATTTTTGAATGTCAGGAACACATCTTTCAGCTTTCTGGTTTTGTCTGGCCTTTCCTTTTTCCTTCTCACAAGCCCTAAAAACAAGTATAGTATTTTCTCCTCTAATATAGGTTCTCAAAAAACAAAACCAAAAAACTAAACCCATAAATAAATAAATTCCCTCAGATAAAGCTTTTTTTCCCAAGCAGATTACCTTTAATCTTTACACTATTTAAGCTTTCATGGCTTCTACCCTTTTCCTCCCACAAAGAACTTATGTATGACATCTTAAGTCAAAATATTCAAATATGACTTTTTAAGTTCTTACTATCTTCACTTTTGTATTTCCTATTTAAGCTGATACAAGAAAATAGCAGGACAAATTCTGCCAGCCACCTGTTCTTGTAAATAAAGTCTACTGAAACACAGTCATACTCATTCATTTCTGTACTGTCGATGTCACTTTTCCACTACAAAGGCAGAGTCAAGTAGCTGTGACAGAAGCAGCATACCCATGAAAATACTATCGACCCTTTACAGGAGAAAGCTGCCAGCCGATATTATATGTCATTACACTGTGATGAGATTAATTTACACAACCTAAAGAGTTTTTAAGGTTAAGAATTAATCAAATTCTTGTTTGTTTTCCCAGTGCTGATACAGAGTCGGCTAAGCAGATGACACTTTGTAACAACTGAGGAAATGAATGAAAGAAAAAGGACCGAGAATGTCAGACTCCTGTTTATAGCTACATGCCTCTTAAAGGGTAGGTGATTACAGATGACTCCTTAAATATGTCAAAGGTTTAATTTTTCTTTTAGATTTATTCCACATGACAGAAGTTCCAGTAAAGTATTACTGCCTTCTGAAAATCTAAGGTCAAAGATAGCTCAAAATGGACATTCCCAAAAGCAGAACTTAAAAGCACTTTCCATTGGTTATATCAGTATATACATTTGTAAAGGCTCATCAAATTTTATACCTACAATGGGTGGTTTATCAGATGTAAATTATACATCAGTAAGATTGTTTTTTAAAAATTAAAAGATGGACTGACTTCCCTAGTGGCACAGTGGATAAGAATCCAATGCAGGAGACATGGATTCCATCCCTGGTCTGGAAAGATTCCGCGTGCCTGGGAGCAACTAAGCCTACACGTCACAGCTACTGGGCCTGCGTGCGGCAACTACTGAAGCCCGTGCACCTGGAGGCCGCGCTCCGTAACAAGAGAAGCCACCACACTGAGAAGCCCTGCGCATCGCAACTGAAGAGTAGCCCTCACTCTCTATAATTAGACAAAGCCCATGCATAGCAAGGAAGACCCAGCGCCACCCAAAAAAAGAAACAACCCTTGTTTTAAAAGTTAAAAACTACTTTACCTTAACTGTTCTAAAAAATTGTCAATGTACTCTTTCCATTTTTCTGGAAATCCAAACATAAATTTCCTTATGAGATATTTTGGGTAACCTATTTATAAACAAACAGAAGTTATCTGAAAGGCTAGATTTTAAACTGATGTCATTCATTTATTAAATAATTTAAATATATACACTATTGCTTACTGTGTGCCAGGCACACAGTGCCTGTGCTGAGGAATTCAGCAGTTAACAACAACAAAAAATCTGCAAAAAAAAATCTGCCTTCATGAAAATTGCCTTCTAAACAGAAAGCAAACCAGTAAGTAATATATCTCATTTGTTAGAGTGGTCATTTATGCTATGGAGAAAAATTATGCAGTTAAGAGGAGAAAAATTATGCAATTAAGAGGAATAGCAGTATCAGTCTGTTCATTTTAGGGGAGGAGAAAGGGGGGGGCAGGCAGCATTTCAGAAAAGGACAGACAAGTTCTCACTGAAATAGCATCATTTGAGTAAAGCCCTGAAGTACAGGAAGTGAGCAATGTGGCAATATGGGGTTAAAGCACTGGAAGCAGAGGGAACAAAGGGAAAGGCTATGAAGCAAGAGGATGCCTGGCTTGTTTGTAGAACCACAGAGATTGGTGTAGCTGAAGTGAAATGAAGAGAGGCAAGAACTAGGAGGCCACTTAGTACGCAGATGGGTAACAGAGGCAGCTGGGAGATTTTAAAGCCTTGGCGTCATTTTATGGACCGGATCTTTTACTTTGGGTGAGATAGGAAGTTATAGAAAATTTCTGAGTGGAGGAGCCAAAGAGTATGACTTACTTTTTAACAGGACTGAATTAGTTGTTATTTTGAGAACAGTCTGTGGAAGTACATGGAGAAGATCAGGTTTTTGACATATTAACTCTGAGACGCCTGTAGACAAACTAGTGAAGATGTCAAATGAAGAGACAAAAAATGAATAAAAAAATATGAAATCAGCACAGCACTGAGTATAGAAAGAGCCCTAGTCTATTCCATTATTTAGAGGCAAAGAAGAAAGAAAAGTAAGCAAAGAAACTATGAAGGAACAGGGAGTGAGGCAGTATGAAATATGGTATTCCAGAAGCCAAGTATTTCAAGAAGGTAGGTGTGATTACCGTGTCAAGTGTACAGTGGATTTAGCAATGTGGGGGCCACTGGTGACTTTGATAAGGGCTGTTGCAGTGAAGAACTGAGGATGAAGGAGAGACTAAAGGGAATTCAAGAAAAAAGATGGAAAAGAATTCAAGAGGAAATAGATCTAAGTATAATGAATTGTCTGAGCCGTTTTGCTGTCAATGAGAGCAATAGTGGCTGAAAGAAGTGTGGTTAAAGGAGGGTTTGCCCTCACCCTATTTTTTTAAGGAATAACTGACACACAGCACAGTGTAGTTTAAGGTATACAGCATGATGGCTTACTAATATATATCTTCCCAAATGATTACAATAGTTAATATCTACCATCTCCTATAGATACAATAAAAAGGAAAAAAGCAATTTTAAAATTTATAAATAAGAGATGAAGATTTAACATCTAAACCTCTCCTTCCAAATCCTCTTCCCACATTTTTACAATACTTTTAACTATATCAAAAATTATTGTATCATAACAATGTGAATATTGTTCACTGCAGAACCCTTCATCCCTGTGACTCATTTATAACTAGAATTCTGCATGTTTTAATCTCCCTCACCTAGTTCACTCATTCCCTGTTCCCTCTCCCTTCTGGCAAGCATCTGTTCTCTTTATCTGTGACTCGATTTGTGTTTTGACTTGTTCATTTGCTGTGGTTTTTAGATTCCACATACAAGTGGAATCATACAGTGTTTATCTTTCTCTGATTTCACTTAGTTTAATACCTGTAGGTCCCTCCATGTTGTCACAATAGTAAGATTTCATTCTTTAAGGCTGAATAATATTCTTTTGTATATGCATACACCTCATCGTCTTTATGCACTCATCCATCAGTAGACACTTAAACGGTTTTGGTATCTTGTCTATTATAAATAATGCTGCAGTAGACACAGGCATGCATTTATCTTTTCAATTACTGTTTTTGTTTTCTTCAGAAAAATACCCCAAAGTGGACTGCTGGATCATATGATAGTTCTACTTGACTAATTTTTTGAGGAACCTCCACAGTTTTCCATAGTGGTCATACCAATTTACTTTCTCACCAACATGGCATAAGGGTTCCCTTTTCTCCATAACCTCACCAATGCATGTTATTTCTTGTCTTTTGGATAATAGCTATTCTGACAGGCATGAGGTGGTATCTCATTGTGCTTTTGATTTGCATTTCCCTGATGATTAGTGATGTTGAGCATCTTTGTTTGCCATCTGTATATCTTCTTTCGGAAAATACTTATTCAGCTCTTCTGCCCAACTTTTTAAAAAATTATTTTACTGCACCAGGTCTTAGTTGTGGCATGTAGGATCTTTCATTGCAGCTTATGAACTCTTAGTTGCAGCATGTGGGATCTAGTTCCTTGACCAGGGATTGAACCCAGGCCCCCTGCGTTGGAAGCATGGAGTCTTAGCCACTGGACAACCAGGGGAGTCCCCTGCTCATTTTTTAATAGGACTGTTTCTTTTTTTGATGTTGAATTGTATGAGTTCTTTGTGTATTTTGGGTATTAATCCCTTATCAGCAATGTAGCTTGCAAATATGTCCTCCTACTCAGTAGGTTGCTTTATCATTTTGTTGACAGTTTCTATTCCTGTACAAAAGTTTTTTAGTTTGATGTTGTCCCATTTGTTTATTTTTTGGTTTTTGTTGCCTCTGCCTGGGGAGACAGATCTAGAAAAATATAGCTAAGGCATCTGTCAAAGGGTTCACTATGTTTTCTTCTAGGAGTTTTATGGTTTCAAATTGTACATTTAAGTCTAATCCATTTTGAGTTTATTTCTGGACACAGTGTGAGGAAGTACTCTAGTTTCTTTTGCATGCAGCTATCCAGTTTTCCTAGTATCACTTACTGAAGAGGCCGTCATTTCCCCCATTATATTCTTACCTCCTCTGTTGTAAATTAATTGACCAAATACAAGTAGGTTCATTTCTGGGGTCTCTATTCTGTTTAGTTGATCTATGTGGCTGTTTTGGTGCCAGTATCACACTATTTTGATTACTGTAGCTTAGCAGCATAGTTTGAATTCATGGAGTAGGATACCTTTAGCTTTGTTATTTAAGTATTTAGGTGTTCCGAGGTTGGGCACCTGTATATTTACAATTGTTATAGCTTTTTTTTGTTTTTGTATTGATCCCTTTACCATTATGTAATATTCTTCTTTGTATTCTATTACAATCTTTGTTTAAAAGTCTGTTTTGTCTAATACAAGCATTTCTAACTTGGTTTCATTTCCATTTACATGGAATACCTTTTTCCATCCCTTCACTTTCTGTCTTTTATTTTTAGATTTGAAAGGAGTCTCTTTGTTTTTGTATCCATTCAGCCACTCTGCTGTGTCTTTGGATTGGGAGCATTTGGTCCATTTACACTTAAAGTTACATTTAAAGTAGTTATAGCTGTTTTAGTAACTGTTTTCTGGTTGTGTTTGTAGCTTTTTATTCCTTCTTTTGATGACTATCTTTTGTGTTACCTTTGGATTCCTTTCTCTTTTGTGTGTATGTGTGTGTATATCTAGTATAGATTTTTGGTTTGTGATTACCATTAGGTTACTATATAACATATATATATGATTATTTTAAGTTGATGATCTCTTAAATACAAATACATTCTAACAACCTTGATTTTTTTACACAAAAGAGAGTGTTTCGTTTTGGTTTTCTTTGTGATGGAAGGGAGAATTACTAGAGTGATATTTTTGAGTAAAAGAGGGTCAGAGCTAAAGTATAAACAGGTTGACACAGACAGGAACGTGGGAGGCTTGCCCAATAAAAGCAGGTACAAATACAAGCAGATAAGAGATGTGGCAGAAAAGTTCTCTTTTGATTGTTCCTGTTGCTCAAGTCTTCTCCTTGTTCCCCCACCCACCAAGCTGAGAGGAAGGCAGGAGAGATGTAGAAATACAAAATAGTCATCGAGGATGATGGGGGAATGAATGGATTAGGGACCTACAGTAGGATACCAAGTGGCCACAGTTTGTTGCTGGTAGTCATAGATTTAAAGTAGACTACTCAAGTGTGTTTTTCTTTAGTCACATTAGCTGTGTACTAGGCATAGACAGGAGAAGGCAATGGCACCCCACTCCAGTACTCTTGCCTGGAGAATGCCATGGGCAGATGAGCCTGGTAGGCTGCAGTCCATGGGGTCGCTAAGAGTCAGACACGACTGAGCGACTTCACTTTCACTTTTCACTTTCATGCACTGGAGAAGGAAATGGCAACCTACTCCAGTGTTCTTGCCTGGAGAAACCCAGGGATGGGGGAGCCTGGTGGGCTGCCATCTTTGGGGTCACACACAGTCAGACACGACTGAAGCGACTTAGCAGCAGCAGCAGCAGGCATAGACAGAAAATAAGATTTTATCAGGACTAGGGTTATGCCGGGCAGGCTTAACAAAAGAGGAATTAGGGAGCTAAATTATATTCTTCTAGCCAGTTCCTCATAAATAAGGAACATTTCATTTGAATATTTTTGAAATAACTGAACTTAAACTGTCAATAACAGTAAATCATAATAAAGGATCAACATATATAATAGTTTTACATAATTTTGGCAGTATTTTTTAATTTTTAGTGTTGACATGTAATTTTAAAGCACCTAATTAAAAGCAAAAATATGGTTTGAAATATGGTTAATTATTTCACTTAGTAAAGTAATTCTTCCAATTAGTAATGACAGTCATTACCTGCTTCTTTCATGGAAATTTGGTCTATCATTCCTTTTAGTACATAAATGTTGCCTGATAAAGTTCTAAGTTTGTTGTGCTTAATCCGTTCTACAATTACATTACTGTGCCAATATATGTTGGTGATGTCTCTAGGAGAAAAAAAAAGCTTAGTTAAAGCCAAAATATTCACATTTTACCAAGAGTCACAATGTACACATGTAATAAAATTGTAACAGGAATAAATTTGCACTCCAGCTACAATGCTATCAATCTAATTACAAAACATTTGAGGGCCAAACACTGCAACAAAACTCAACCTCTTGGCTAATGTGAACCTGAGTAACAAGAAACTGTACTATGGCCAAACCATGTGGCTAGTATAAAATGTATCATTAACAAGAAAGCAAGGAGTTCTCTAAATATCTTGTGGTAATAAAGCTCACAACTCTGTCTCAACTGATGCCAAACCGCCAAAGGATGGTTTCCCTGTCACTCTCCTCAGGGCCTATGCTGAGTTAGATTTCAAGCAGTTATATTGTTTGAATTATTCTACTCTTGTGTTCCCCCCCACCACCATATAGCCAAATGTCTTTTTTTTTTTTAGCCAAATGTCTTTACCTTCCTCTTTAGAAAGTACCAAAAGAGGTTCCAATTGTGAAAAAACAAACCGCAGCATCAAACTACTGACCCATAAATCTACTCTTTATATTTCTCTACATGAAGCCAAGAATAAATATAGAGAAAACAAAATTTTAAAATATATTAGATAAATGAACATTCTTACTCATTAGATTAGTAATAAACATTCTAAATATAAGCATAATAAATGAGAAAGTTAAGGTCATTTAGTTTGGTCAAATGGAATTAAACTCATATGTTATACTTTAACACAATATTCTCACATCCTCTGTTCTTTTTTGGGTTTCCCTTGTGGTTCAGCTGGTAAAGGATGCCCCTACAATGCGGGATACCTGGGTTCAATCCCTGAGTTGGGAAGATCCCCTGGAGAAGGCAAAGGCTACCCACACTAGTATTCTGGAATAGAGAATTCCATGGACTTAATAGTCCATGGGGTCACAAAGAGTTGGACACAACTGAGTGACTTTCACTATTTTATTTAACAAATATTTAAATAGTACTCAAGCACTGTTCTTGAAATCTTATAAATATTAACGTATTTAACCCTCAAATAATTAAAAAAGTAGGTCATGTTATATCATCATTACACAAATGAAGAAAATGAGACTGAAAGAGGGTAAGTAATTGGCCTAAGTCATACAGCCAGTAAGCAGTAGTAATGCTGCTGCTGCCAAGTCGCATCAGTCGTGTCTGACTCTGTGCGACCCCACAGACGGCGGCTCACCAGGCTCCCCCGTCCCCGGGATTCTCCAGGCAAGAACAGTGGAGTGGGTTGCCATTTCCTTCTCCAATGCGTGAAAGTGAAGTCGCTCAGTCGTGTCCGACTCTTAGTGACCCATAGACTGTAGCCTACCAGGCTACTCTGTCCATGGGATTTTCCAGGCAAAAGTACTGGAATGGGTTTCCATTGCCTTCTCTGGCAGTAGTAATGGGATTCCAACAAAGGCAATCAGTGCTGCCTCTGGATATTAAGGAAATGAGTGGGTGCAAGGCAAGCAAGAAATAAGGTGAGCAAGGCAGATTTTATATACTCATAAACTTTCAGGTAAGTATCTCTAAACGTGATACAGTGTATTGTTTTATTACAACCTTTTATTACATTTTTTTTTTAACCACTAAGAAAATTGGTTTTGAAGAACAGGAAATGGAACTAGCAAAGCCCACTTAGGCAAAGCCCACTTACCAAAGGATGCTTTCATTTTAGGGAAAACCATAAAGTGCCAGTGATTACTTAACATGTAGCAGTGTGGCACTGCTAAATAATTTTGATTTCTTTCCTGGATCAGTAAATACATATCTGGTTTTGGTTTTCCCAACTTAGATGTGAGACTCTGGACTGAAATGCATGCCGTAAACGTTAACTACAAGCAATCATTATCACTAAGCAGATAATCCCAGCCCACTTCATAGAACCTCTGAAAAAATAAAGCACTGTTCATGCAAATTTGAGCGTCACTATTTTAAAAATAATGTGAGTTAACAAATTTCTTGCAAAAGCAAGAAAGCTAGTTACAATCAAAATGGTCATACTCATTTTACTTTTCTGCCATCAGTTTATAACCTCGTTAGAAAGTCTTTCTTTTACAGCAAGATGCGATTTGTCATGTATCTCCTTGTAAGTTCTTACACACAAATATTCTTATTACAAATTTTACTAGAAGAATACTGAAAAGTTATACTTACATCAGTTTTCCTTCTACACATATAGCAGTGTTATTATTGATGACTTTAATCATCCATTCCTGTAGCTGGACTATCTGATAAAGCATAAAATGAAGTATATATTATTTCTTATATTACTTGTACCATATGCATTACAAAATCAGTTTACATTAAATTAAAAGAAAAAACTTATACAAGTAATCCAAATGAGTCCTTCGTGTTCATCTATGTAAGAATCACATTCTATTTTATATAGCAATAAGGTAAAAACTTATGCATAATTAAACAAAAGATGGAGACAGACTGAACTGAAGTTGTACTGCAGTTTGTTCTATTAATAAAATCCAGAATCAATTATACCTTAAATATTCTTATGTCAAATATCTTAACCACTAAGGGAAAAAGTCACCTAAAATCTTGAGGTATCCATTAAAATACCAAAGCCACAAAAGACACAATAACTTAGAGAAAACAAGTTAAGTAGTATGCATTTCACCATCACTTTTATCCCTGTATAATTAGAGCATTTTTTTGGAAAAGTTGATTTGGAGTTGCATTTAATTTCCTGTAAACTATAAAGGTGATTGCTAGTAATCTATACTTAGTATTCTATTCCAAAGCAAACATGTGAACAGCTCCTCTAGCCATGAGATTCTCCAGGCAAGAATACTGGAGTGGGTTGCCATTTCCTACTCCAGTGTTACAACAGTAAAACTGCTCAAATCTTTAGATGCTATAATTCCTTTCCCTTTTAACTGCTCTGTTAATAGAACACCAAGAATCAGGAAAAAAAAAATTTAAGAACAAGAATACCTCAGTATTCATCCCCAAAGGGAGTTGAAGACTATGCAACTAGTGATAGAGCAAAATAAGACTTCACGCATGGGTCTTCTTACTTTTAATCCACTGCTCATTTCACTAGGCCACATTGCCTCTACACTAAATATTAACAAAAACCCAAAATGAACCTGTTAATGAGAGAGCAAAAGAGCTTATGCACTTTAAGAATGAGGGTGAAAACAAGTATTTATCTGCCTTAAAAGTTTTCCTACCTTAATTTTAACTCCATTTGTAATAGTTTGGCTTGTACTTGGAGAAGGGTTCCAAGCATTTCTTTTTGATCTCTGAGGTATTGTTATATGAAATCGTGGAGTTGCAAGCACAATTTTACAAGTATCATTCATGGAACCTGTAAAATCAGTCTCTCTGTGCATTGTTTTCTCATTTCCTTCCTTAATTTCCTGTTTTGAAGTGCCTTCTGCTGTAATCTTACTATCATCGGAAACCAGTAACTGACCACCATTCTCAACATCAGGACCACAAAGAGTCTCAACAGTGGTATTTGGGGACTTTTCACAGGTAGAATCAATGTCTTCTAAAACAAACGTGTCCTTTTTGGATTTATTGGTTGCAACTGTATTCTCCTTTGGGTGAAGAATTTGTCTAGCCAGCTGAGCTCTAGTTAGTGCCCTGTTTGCAGCTGCAACATTTTTATGTTCTTGGTTCAGAACTGGAAGCTCTGCAAAAAATACAAAACCAAACCAAATTTATAGACGGATAATATGAAATGAAAAGAGAACAATAGAAAAATTTAAAACTTTTAATTGCCTACACAGGGAAAATAATTATCTAGAAATTTAACCATACATTCAAATAACAAACTAAAAACAAAACAAAAAGCACTTTACCATAAGTTAAATTGTGCAGAGGCAACTTCTTTTCCTGCTGATATTTAATCTTTTGCTTGACCGGCACAAAAATATTACTTGATGATTCCAGAGGAACTTCTTGGACTGAGGTTGAGTTTTCTTTTTTTAAAGAAAGAAGTTGTATTAGTCAATAAGAGAAAAAAAATACCTTTAAAAATCTTGGAATAAAGACTTAAATTGAGTAGTGATCAGACCAACAGAGTATATACTTTAATATATGACAGTTATATTAAGTTTTTGCCCTTTTTTATTATCTCATATCTTCAATGCACTCTCTATACCTGTATTATGCTGATAGAGAATTTTTTAAAAACTTCTCCACATTACCTGTCAGCTCTAGACACAAGTATACTACTGGACTTAGAAGCCTAGAGATCTGGAATAAAATTCTGGTGCTGTCACAAATCAGATATGTTTATGTCAAAGTCATATATCAAGTGCCATCCTGTCTTGAAATTCTGATTTTGCTTCTGGTTGTTGGAAATTTCTAAAATATGGATGAACAGTTGTAACAGGTTTAAAAATCAAAATGTTGAGATTCAGTAGCAGACTAAGTCATAATTTATACTTCTTTGACATCCCTTTAGCAGGTCTTCAAAGACATAAATTTGGTAGGCTTATCACCAGACAAACAGGAACTAATAGCACTGCTTATATTTTATTCTGCTTTACATCCTAGATGGTTAAAGTTTTGTATTTTGAATATAGAAATGAGTTTCTTTCACATAAAAAGGGGAAGGTAATAGATTTAAAATTTGTACCAGTGACACAAAGACAGAAATATAGATCAATGGAACAGAATAGAAAGCCCAGAGATAAATCCACGAACCTATGGACACCTTATCTTCGACAAAGGAGGAAAGAATATACAATGGAAAAAAGACAACCTCTTTAACAAGTGGTGCTGGGAAAACTGGTCAACCACTTGTAAAAGAATGAAACTAGAACACTTTCTAACACCATACACAAAAATAAACTCAAAATGGATTAAAGATCTAAATGTAAGACCAGAAACTATAAAACTCCTAGAGGAGAACATAGGCAAAACACTCTCCGACATAAATCACAGCAGGATCCTCTATGACCCACCTCCCAGAATATTGGAAATAAAAGCAAAAATAAACAAATGGGACCTAATGAAACTTAAAAGCTTTTGCACAACAAAGGAAACTATAAGCAAGGTGAAAAGACAGTCCTCAGATTGGGAGAAAATAATAGCAAACGAAGCAACAAAGGATTAATCTCAAAAATATACAAGCAACTCCTGCAGCTCAATTCCAGAAAAATAAATGACCCAATCAAAAAATGGGCCAAAGAACTAAATAGACATTTCTCCAAAGAAGACATACAGATGGCTAACAAACACATGAAAAGATGCTCAACATCACTCACTATCAGAGAAATGCAAATCAAAACCACAATGAGGTACCATTACACACCAGTCAGGATGGCTGCTATCCAAAAGTCTACAAGCAATAAATGCTGGAGAGGGTGTGGAGAAAAGGGAACCCTCTTACACTGTTGGTGGGAATGCAAACTAGTACAGCCGTTATGGAGAACAGTGTGGAGATTTCTTTAAAAACTGGAAATAGAACTGCCATATGACCCAGCAATCCCACTCCTGGGCATACACACCGAGGAAACCAGATCTGAAAGAGACATGTGCACCCCAATGTTCATCACAGCACTGTTTATAATAGCCAGGACATGGAAGCAACCTAGATGCCCATCAGCAGACGAATGGATAAGGAAGCTATGGTACATATACACCATGGAATATTACTCAGCCATTAAAAAGAATTCATTTGAATCAGTTCTAATGAGATGGATAAAACTGGAGCCCATTATACAGAGCAAAGTAAGCCAGAAAGATAAAGACCATTACAGTATACTAACACATTATATGGAATTTAGAAAGATGGTAATGATAACCCTATATGCAAAACAGAAAAAGAGACTCAAATGTATAGAACAGACTTGTGGACTCTGTGGGAGAAGGCGAGGGTGGGATGTTTCAAGAGAACAGCATCGAAACATGTATATTATCTAGGGTGAAACAGATCACCAGCCCAGGTTGGATGCATGAGACAAGTGCTCGGGCCTGGTGCACTGGGAAGACCCAGAGGGATCGGGTGGAAAGGGAGGTGGGATGGGGGAACGGGATAGGGAACACATGTAAATCCATGGCTGATTCATGTCAATGTATGACAAAAACCACTACAATATTGTAAAGTAATTAGCCTCCAACTAATAAAAATAAATGGAAAAAATAAATAAATAAAGCAGTGCTAGTAGTAGTATTGTTAAAAAAAAAAAATTGTACCAGTGAAGGAAAAACTGAATTATTTTATATGTTTAATTTCAAATATTATACTTGAAAAAACTGGTAGTGATTACCCTTTAATATGTACATTGCTTTACCCTTATAAACCTCAATATAAAGATTTTATTATAATGACATGTCATAAAAGATAGATAAGTTTCTATTTCTTTAAATCATTCTACTAGAAATGGCAGGGCAATGTAGTACAGATAAGTAGACAATTCAATCATATGCAACATGGTACAGAACACAGGCCATTTATTTCAGTTCAGGGATCCATGTAGGGACTCTCCAAAAGATCTCTGAAATTATATACAATATCTGTGTTTGTATATATATGTATTTTCTAGGAAGTCAGCAGATTCTCAAAGCAGTCAGTTATGTCTTCCTCTCTCTAATCCCAGTTTACATATAAAACATGCTATAATGTACATTATTTCTCTTGCTTCTCCCTTTTCTCTTAGACTGTATGAGATTATTTGTATATTCACCTACCTCCATCCTAAGCTCCCTTAGAAAACTGCTTTTGTGTCAAAATACATCACTATCTTTGAAATGCAACAATACACCCACAATCTATTATGTAAAGCAGTTAAGAGCATGAGCTTTCTAATAGATATCTGTATTTAATTCTCAGCTTATCACTTACTTACTACCTGTGAGACACATAGCAGACGTTAATTTATTTAAAAGCTCCATTTCCTAGACTATTAAATGAGCATATATCCATAGTGTTTGCTGAAAGGAGCAAATGAGATAATGCACGTAAAGTATCTTTATCAATTACTGGCTTCTGAAGATACCATTCTGGTTTTTCTTCCTCATCTCAGTGGCTTTCACTACTTTCTGCTCTTTATTCTACCTTCTAAATTTCAGGGTGCCCCGGAACTTATCCTTAAATGTTTTCTCTGGAAACATTTCAACATACACAGTTTTTTCAAGTATAATATACTTACTCCTTGATGATCCCATCTAATCTCACAGCTTTAAATACCATTTAGGTGCTAATGACTCCAAATGTATTTCTCAGGCCATTTCCCTAAATTCCAACTAATTTTTTTCAACAGCCTAATGCACATCTATACTTCAATTTTTAACAGACATATCAAAATTAACATGACAAGAAACATAATTACTGAGTCCTCAAAACTATTCCACCTCTGTCTGCCCCACCTCAGTTAAACTGCTCCATCCTTCCAGTTGCTTGAGCAAAAAAAAACCCAAACCAAACCAATCACCAGGTCATCCTTTATACCTCTCTTATATTCCACATTCCCATCTCTCAACATGTATCTGGAGGGACTTCCTTGGTGGTCCAGTGGCTAAGACTCTACGCACTCCCAAGGCAGGGGGCCTGGGTTTGATCCCTGCACAGGGAGCTAGATCCCACATGCCACAACTAAAAGATCGTATGTGCCACAATTAAGACCCTGTGCAGCCAAATAAATAAATAAAATATTAAAACAAATTAACACCCACCCCTCCACCCCCCCGCCAAAACCAAAATCTATCTGGAATTCAGCAACTCCTTATCATCTCCACTGCTACCACCTGACCAAGCCAATGCCATCTCTTACCTGGAATACTAAAATAACTATTTCAAATTAACAGCTAGAGTGATACTTTTAAAATATAAGTCAGACTGCGACATTCCTCTGCTCAAAACCCTCTAGCGGCTCCTTAATTTGCTTACAACAAAAACCCAAACCCTTATATTTACCTATAAGGCCCTTATAGGACCCTCCTAAAAGACACATTACCTGACCCTCTCCTTATTTATCCCCTCCTCCCCAGCTGCCCACTCACTCCTTGGTCATCTCCTAGCTAGTCTGCATGCTTCTATTTCAGGGCACTTGTACCAGCCGCAAGATACCTATCTGCATCTATCGCTTCCTTCAGTTTTTTTGGCTCAAATATCACCTTTTCATTGAAACACTGACCACCCCATGAAAAATTAAAACCTGCTCCAACTCTCCCCATCATGCTTACTCTGCTTTCTCTTTCCAGACCATTTCTATTATAATTCTAAAAAATACTTATTTAATGATCTGTCTGCCACCACCTGAATATAAGCTAGCTTCATGAGGGCAGAGATTTTTGTTCATTTTGCTCACTGCTGTTCCCTGAGTACCTAAAAGTGTCAGACATAATAAACACTAAACACGGTATAGCATTTTAACCAACACATAATAAAACTAACCTCTTAGTGAACTGTTTTCTGGCTGGAATGATTTGTTGTTTTCCTTTTCTTCACAGAGGTAGGTATGCTTTAATATTCTTTCCTCAGCTCCATTAGGAGTGAAACTTTCATTTTGTGTTGGTTCCAAAAAACTGTTTCCTGATGCTTCTTCTTGCTTGCCGCGTAGGACTTTTTCTTTCATTCTTTGAAATATTTTTCCTGGTGATTCATAGCTTGCCTTATTTTTAAATTCATCCTTGTTGGGCTTTATAGCACTGATATCAAGAGAACTGTTAGAAGTGGTAGCCTCCACTAGCATGGTAGACTGAAATACATTTTTATTATTAAAAACTGCCATTTCTACAAACTGACTCTTTTTATGATTATTCAGTTTTAAAGCGGATTTCTGATATTTCACCAAGTCTTTTACAGGAGTAAGTGTGCCTGAAGGAATGCTGTCAAAAAAGATCGCATGCATGGGCATATTTCTTTGAGAAGATGTATCTGAAGACAGGTGAATTCCTGGATGTTTCAAAGGTGTTGCAATCATCTTGATAAACAGAAGCAACAAATTCCCTCTAACAGAAAATTCACACAATTTTCAGGATAGACCTTCAGCAGGGGGCCAGAGGAACCTGCAGTTCAATGTGAAATCAATTTTTATCATGCTTCTGTACAGAAAAAGTTAAGTTTGTTTTCCATAATAACATTATACAAAATAAAAGGTTTAATTGGTTCATAACAACACTGGATAATCTATACCTCACAAAGCAGACTAAGATTTTATATTTTTGTTAAGGTTTCATTTATTTTTTTTCAGTGATAAAACAGTTTTGTTTTTAAATTTATTCTCTGCAAAAAAGCAGCTTCCACCAAGTCTTCTACTTTATCACTCTAAGAGCAGAATTTTTAATATTTGTTTTTGAAATTTACTTGAACCTCAAGTCCTGGAGGTTCCAATCTAATATTTGCATCAAAAAACATTAAATGACAACTGCATATAGCAATAAATTATGAAAAGATTAAGTTTCACAAATATGATTTTTCCTTTTAGGAACTTAAATTTTAAGGCAGCAACTACATGACATATCCTAATGAAGGTTAAAAATCCATTCAATTTTTAAGTTAACAATCTCCAATCCTGATTTCTGTTATGCTGCAGAACTTTTTAATGTGAGATTTTAGTTTTAAAAAAAAGACCTCAAGTCAAAAGTAGATTATATTCATTATAATTTTCTAAACATTTAAAAAATAAATAAATAAACATTTACTGCTGCTTAGAATTTTTAGAGGAAATTATGTACTTGGGCATACATGGTCTTAGACTTGTTTTAGCTTGTTTCTTACATATAAATTTTATTTCCCACACCTACACATTTCTAGGTGATGAACCATACAGTTGGTAAATTAATACAATATTTTAACCTAAAGGAGCCTAGAACTTATAAGTCTAGATTTACAGCATCTCTTATCACTGAATTTATAACTATTCCAATCAGTCTTTGTTCATACAAACATAAGAAATGTATTTCAGAAAATATAAATTCATTCAGACCAAAGACATCAAGTATCTTTATCTACAGCAACTTCTGCAAGAAATATACAAGTTAAAAATTCACATACAAACTACCATTTTATTTGATATTTTATAAGAGAAAAAAAGAAGGAAATATTCCTCAATAACAAGAGCTGACAAAGACACCCAGTATCTTAGAAATGGCACAAAACCCACTGAATTCAGCAAATATGTATTAGCGCATATATTCATGCATTTGGCAAGATATTAGTGACAGGAATCCTGTGCTTGGAGTTATAATACTCACTGGCCATTCAGTTTAAGTTCTCAAAAACAAAAATGAATAAACTGGGACAACTGCATGGAAAGATGGCAAAGTATGTGAAGGTTTACACAATCTCATTTCTTTAGAACCTAATGAAATGCTCAACAGTAAGTATAAACTGCTAGTAAATTAGAAGAAATAAGAACATCCAGTCTGTAGTACAATAGTTTCTCCCTCCCCACCTTCTCCCAGGGGGATACATTCCAAGACTACCAGTCAATGCCTGAAATTATGGATAGTGCCAGAGCCATAATATATATACTGTTTTTCCCTTTACATACATACCTATGGTAAAGTTTAATTTGTAAATCAGGCAGAGTAAGAAATTAACAATAGTAAAACAATTATAACAATATACTGTAATAAAAGTTATGTGAATGTCACCTCACCCAAAACACAAATTCAATGCCTTTTCCACTTCACGAAGCATTTATCACGCACTGTAGCTGTAACTTTTGCAGTTTTGGGGGTCAACAGCTAAACCCGCATGCATTTCTTTTTCCTTCTTCACAAATAGGAGATTCATTTTTATCCAGACCTCGGCAATCTCAGCATACAATTTTTTTCCTCATTAAGTCAAGAGCTTTCACCTTTTCACTTAAAGGAAGCAATTGCCAGCAGCACTACTCTTGTGATTTGGGACAACTGCTAAGTAAAATTAGGGTTACCTACATACAAACACTATACTTCAACAGTCCATCTGAGGACTGCTAAGTGACTAGTGCATGGGGTATGCTGGACAGAGGGGTGGTTGACATTCCTAGAAGGACAGTGTGAGATTTCATTATGCTCTTAAGAAAATCATGCAATTTATTTATTTTTAATTGTTTTTATTGGCGTATACTTGCCTTACAAACTTGTATTAGTTTCTGCAAAGTGAATCAGTTATACATATACATATATCCATTCTTTTTTACATTTCCTTCCTATTTAGGTTCCTTCTAGGACTGGAGAAGACAAGGTGAACTCTAAAATGGTATGTTTGTGCCTTCATTAAATGCTTAAAACTATTTGAAAAATCTAATACTTAAAATTTACTCTGAAAACTGACATGCTGATATACTAGAGAAAAATTGCTATTTATTCAAAATAAAGACTCAGGCATGGGAAAATCAGCTATAAGTATGAAAAAGTAGCTATGAGTATCTAGAGTATCTAGAAAGCTGAACAACTGTTATCATGTATATAATACTGAATTTAACTTTTATTCTTCTTCCTAAGAAGACATAAAAAATTCTAGGAATTTACTGCTGTGGTAGTAACATTAATAATAATTACAATGGAATGGGTCAAAACTCCCAAGGCACACTAACCAAAACGGGGAGAGAGAGTTGGGAAAAAATGAGAGAAATAGTAAGTTAACTAACAAATGATATACTTGGAAAAAAGTGCAGCACACAACAACATATTGAGTTGGTCACAGAATTTGTTTGGTTTTTCCTGTAAGGTGGTTCTAGTAGAGCTTATTTGTCTTTAACTTCATTCAAAACAGTTCTGTCAGATTGTATTGTGACAGATGTCATTCACAATGCATTAAAATAAAAAAAAAGATTAGTGAACTTTTGTGTAGCCATTTTATTATTAAAAATGGAAGAAAAAGGCCACATTTCTGGCACATTATGCTTTATTATTTCAAGAAAGGTGGAAACACAACTGAAATGCAAAAAAAAAAAAAAAAAGATTTGTGCAGTGTATGGAGAAGCTACTGTGACTGATCAAACATCAAACCTGTCAAAAGTGGTTTGCAAAATTTTGCGCTGGAGATTTCTTGCTGGACAAATGCTCCCTGGTACAATAACCATTTGAAGTTGATAGCGATCAAACTGAGACATTGAGAACAATCAACATTATGCCATGTGGGAGATAGCTGACATACTCAAAATATCCAAATCAAGCACTGAAAATCTTTTGCACCAGTTTGGTTATGTTAATCCCTTTGATGTTTGGGTTCCACATAAGTTAAGCACAAAAGCACTTCTTGACTGTATTTCTGCCTGTGATTCTCTGAACTGTAACAAAAACATTCCATTTTTAAAACAAATTGTGATGTGTGATGAGAAGTGAATACTGTACAATAATGTTGAATGGAAGAGACCATGGGGCAAGTGAAATGAACTACCACCAACCATACCAAACGCGATGTGTATGTAGTGGGGTTGGAAAGGAGTTCCCTATCATGAGCTCAAAGAACTGCTCCCAATTAGACCAACTGAAAGCAGCACTCAACAAAAAGCGTCAGGAATTAGTCAACAGAAAACACAAATTCTTCCATCAGGGTAACACAAGCCTCCATGTTTCTTTGATGGCCAGGCAAAAACTGTTAACAGCTTCTCTGAGAAGTTCTGACTTATCTGCCATATTCACCAGACATTGTATCTTCAGATTCCCGTTTATTTCAGTCTTTACAAAATTCTCTTAATGAAAAAAATTTCATTAAGGAGGACTATATATGGCATGTGGAAGAGTTCTTTGCTCAAAAAGATAAAAAGTTTTAGGAAGATGGAATTATGAAGTTGCCTGAAAAATGGCAGAAGGTAGTGGAATAAAATGGTGAATATGCTGTTCAATAAAATTCTTGGTGAAAATGAAAAAGGTCTTTCATTTATACTTAGAAACCAAAGGAACTTTTTGGCCAACCCAATGGATAACATTCAAAGAAATCAAATGAATCAATTTAAAGAAATGATCAACATAAAAAATGGCCAAAGGACATGAAAGGCATTTAATAGAATACAAATGGTCCATAAATGAGTCAAAATGACACTCTATTTTACTAATAAATGAAGAGATGCAAATTAAAAGTGAGATTTCTTATGTTTATCAGTTTGGTAAAGGTTAATTTCAAACTATAGGTGTGCATGCCATTGATCAATAAATTCCACTTAAAATTTTTCTTACGGAAACATCTACAAAAGAATGCAAATACGTCTGTGGTAATAATATTCAACATCTACTGCACCTATGTCAGACACTACTTAATCTTACAGCAATTCATAAGAGTTAAGTATTGTTATTATCCCCATTTTGAAGATGAGAAAACTAAGGCATAAAGTGGTTAAGTAGCCAGTCCAAGGTCCCACTGGCAATTAAGAGCAGGACTCCAGTCTATCTGATTTCAAAGCCTAAGTTCTTAAACAGGCCCTATACAAGGATGTTCACGGAAGTACTAATTAGAAACAATCTAGATGGCTACCAAAATTCAGCTATTCACTAAAGCACCGGGCTAACTAGAAACAACCTAGACGTCTATCAATATGGGACAAAATTCTGCTTTTGTCATCCATATAACGGAATTCTATGTATTCAATAAAAAGATATACATACACACTCTGACATATAAAGTAGCTGGAATATTAAAAGTTTAAAAAGCAGCAGAACAGGATGTACAATTGAATTTGTTAAAAAAAAAAAAACAGTATACGAAAAGACGGAAAAATCTGGAATTAAGATATTGTAAAAACTGTAATTGTAAATAGCACTTATCTTTGTAGAGAGGGATGAAGGGGCCTCCCGTTTCCTAAATAATTTTATTTACATCTGAAAATGTTTGCAATATGTAATTTAATCAGAAGAAAACACACACTAGATGGATAAATTGTTTCTTTAGCTCTGTGGATCCTGGGTTCCAAGGTGAAGAATCGGGCAGTGACGCACACAATATTCCTATTTGGAAATCTAATTTTTTTTTCTAGAAGTGATTTTAGAACAAAAGCCTAGGGCGCTCATCACTGAAACGAAATCAGAGGGAAAGAGGTCTGCTCTCTTGATAAATCCAGTAGACACGCAGCAAATACACACCGAATGAACCAGTGGTCGTGATACCGCAGCCGAAGACAGAAACGTACAAAAGTCCGCCAGACCGCAGAAAACTGAAGCGCTGGGACTCGCTGCGCCAGAGGGACCGGAGGCAGAAGCTAGGGTAGAGGGTCGGGGAGGCCGTACCTTGGGTGAAGAGCCTGACCGGGCGAGACGGCAGCAGTCTGGGCTCGGCTTCGGGGCAGCGGGGGACCTGGGCGCCCTAAGATCGCGCCTCTGGCCCAAGTCTGCCCCACCCCTCAGCGGCCGAACCCCAGGTGATTCTCACCTTCTCCGCGAGGTTCCCTAACACGAACTATTAGGGAATTCAAATTTGAAGAGCCCGCCCTCCCAGCCAACCCAGGATTGGCGCGCTCAGGAATTGCGTCACCGTGCGTCTCACTGGGACTCCGGAAGCCTGGGGGCGCTTTCCGCTCCGCGTGGGCAATGGCTGTTTCCACAAAAACTGGGTAACCCCAAGCTGCGACAGGTACTGGGCAGGCACCTGTAGGGGTCCTCGGACTTTGTTTCTTCTTCAGAAGAACGCCAGCTTCGCGTTTCGCGGCTCTTCCCGAAATGCTTTGCGGCAGGAAGGCCTACGTCAGACGCGCTACTGCGCATCTTACGTTTGGTCCTTCTCGGCTACCCTCTAGCTCTGTGTGAGAAAGGTAATAGCTTTTGGTTATTTGTTGCTTCCAAGTGTGAGGAATTAGCTTGCTGAATATGTTTAAGAGAGCTTTTAAGTTTTCCCTGGCCGTCAGATATTTGAGGCCGAGAAGGAACGTTTTTTTCTTGAGGGGATAGTGGACTAAATGCAAAGTTATACTTGCAGTAGTTATAATTTTTTAACCTAATCATCTCGAACCCTAAAAGCAATTCATCTTGACTTCTGGGTTGCGATGCAGTTTGTTACAGTCGCGTTCAGACTTATCCCAGCCTTAGACTTCGCCCAGTGTACTGTGCTTCCTTCGGGTCGGCGCCCCGGCACGACGCGTTGCGGGCTGGAAACTGTGTAGAATGCCTTGTTTCAGTTTTGGAGGAGGAGGAACCAGAGGAGTAACTAGAGTTCTCAGCCTTATATCTGTTCCAGCTCCCGTCCTGCGTGTTCTCTTCATGGACTCCGCCCCACTCCCCACCAAGTCAACATTTAGGACCGGAGAGTTTATTTTTTGCCTCTTTAAAGTGACGTTTGAGATTCTCTCCTCTAAATCATGTATCCATAAATCTTGTGCTCATCGAATATTCAGAATCTAAAATACACTTTTTAAAACATCGAATGAAAATAAATAAAACATCGAATGAATGCAAGTAAGGAAAAGAAACCAGTTGGGGGTGGGAGGAGAGAAGCAGGTCTGCATAGAAATTTCTGACTGTGCAGCATAATGAGAAAATGGCTGCACATGCATTTGCACCAAATTATGGGAAAAACTAGATGGCATAGTGGTAAAGAACTCGCCTGCCAATTCAGGAGACGTAAGAAACGTGGGTTCAATCTCTGGGTTCGGAAGGTCCCTTGGAGGAGGGCATAGGCAGTCCACTCCAGTATTCTTGGCTGGAAAATTGCATGGACAGAGGCGCTTGGTGGTACAGTCCATGAGGTCTCAAAGAGTTGGACACAACTGAAGGGACTTAGCTAGCAAACCAAACTTGAAATACATGTTTAGTGAAATCTATGAAATACACTCTGTGGGATATATGACATTTATATTTCATATAAATGAAATTACTTTGAAAAGAGAGGCATTCATACTTAAAAGCATCTGAAATAGAGGCATGAAAGGTTTCTGTTTCTGATAATGAAGATAACCGTGGCTCACACTTTCAGCTAAAACAGGAACTTTTAAATGTTAAGGGCAGACACTCAGAATTACAGACTTTAATTTTTTAAATTAGCCACTTCTGTTTGAGAAGTAAGTAGGATCTAGTATGCTCCAGGGTGAACAGCAACAAGAATTTACGTAAGAGTGACTAATAATTTTCCAAGGAAGTATGAATAACACTTTGTGGATAAAAGTGCAGTGAGAAGGTATATAGGCCAAGGGACAACCTTCATCTGTCCAATGGAGCATCAACATGCTGCCTTGGATGGATCCTCTTAAGTTTGTGTTTGCAAGGATCGACAGGCTTTTTATGGTCAGAGCCAGGCACCTGGGATAATCTGTCCTCAATCTGTAACACCTGGGAACACATAGAGACCTACTTAGGGTTTAAAATACATAGCAAGATGGAGAAGGAAATGGCAACCCACTCCAGTATTCTTGCCTGGAAAAATCCATGGACAGAGGAGTCTGGCGGGCTGAAGTCCATGGGATTACATGACTGAGCATGTGTGCACGAGGGTGGAGGGAGATGGGTTGGTAGCAATAAACTGGTAGAACTAAAAAAAAAATAAAATACATAGCAAGAGAGGATGGAATTCTTACGTTGTGTGGGAGTTGCAGTCAAGAGATCTGTATCTGCTTAGCCTGGAAGAATATTCCCAGAACCATGGTAATATACTATGGTCCAGTTCTATACTGAGCTTCCCTGGTGGCTCAGAGGTTAAAGCGTCTGCCTCCAATGTGGGAGACCTGGGTTCGATCCCTGGGTTGGGAAGATCCCCTGGAGAAGGAAATGGTAACCCACTCCAGTATTCTTGCCTGGAGAATCCCACGGGTGGAGGAGCCTGGTAGTCTACAGTCCATGGGATTGCAAGGAGTCGGACACAACCAAGTGACTTCACTTTCCAGTTGTATACTAATTGACCAAATAGCATTTTGAGAAGAATTAGAAAAAAGATGCTCTTTCATCAAGGCCAGGGATGATTTTGCACTCCAGGGGACATTTGGCAAAGTCTGGAAATATAAATGTCATAACTTATAAGGATGCCACTGGCAGCTAGTGAGTAGAGGGCAGGAATGCTACTAAACATCCTGTAGTGCATAGGACAGCCCTTCCACTACAAAGAATTATTAAATCTGAAATGTCAATAGTGCCAAAGTTGATAAATCCTACATTTGGAAGATGTAGCCCTGAATTAGGATTTTAGTCTCCTCTCTCTCAACTGTGTTCCCAATGTAAGACACAGCTATGCAACTACTACTATCCTGTGGACTGAAAGGAGGGATGAGGATTGAGTCAACAGGGTGGTTATCCAGGCTTCTTAGAGGAGGACCCTTCAGAAGGAAAGACTGCCAAGGAGATTGTTATGTGATAGAGACAACATACAAGCACATGAACATAGCATTACAAATTGTAATAAGTGTTATGATGATGTATCAGTTTGAGTGGAGGACGCTGATGGTAACATGGAATACAAGAGACTTATTGGAAGATAAAGCCTGTGAAAGTTTAAGGGGGAGGAAAAAGAAATGAGCCTGGAAAATCATTAGGCTTTGATGCAGATCAGAAATTTGTGAAAGAAAAAGGGAGAAGGAAGTAGAACTGGGCAAAGGGAGCTAAAGATTGCAGTACAGATTGACGAAGTGTTGGGAGTTGGATTGACAATAGGGAGTTTGGGGGTAACCTATCAGAGGAGATATCCAGTGGGCCAAAATGGAAAGGTCCTGAACTCCATTATGTTGGCAATGGGAAGAACACACTTTGGCTCAAAGGCTTAAATTTTTTTTTAAACTGAGATATAATTAACATAATAGTATATTATTATATAAAAGATTGAGGTCAGAAGAAGAGGGCGTCAGAGGATGAGATGGCTGGATGGCATTACCGATGCCATGGACATGAACTTGGGCAAACTTTGGGAGATGGTGAGGGACAGAGAGGCCTGGCATGCTGCAGTCCATGGGTTGCAGAGTTGGATATGAATGGGCAACTGAATGGGCAAAATGATCACCACACTATGTCTAGTTAACACCCATTAAGGCAGATACATATAATTTTGTTTTTCTTGTAATGAGAACTTGTAAGATCTACCTTCTTAGCAACTTTTAAATATACAATTCAATATTTTTAATTGTAGTCATCATGTTATACATTCCACCCACAGGACGTCTTTATTTATACCTGAAAGTTTATACCTTTTGACCACCTTCTTCCATTTGCCCATACCTGTGGCAACCATCAATCTGTTCTGTGTGTCTATGAGTTTAATTTTTTTAAATTTCACTTAATTGTAAGACTATGTAGTGTTTGTCTTTCTCTGTCTGACATTTCACTTAGCATAATGCCCTTCAGCTCCACCCATGTTGCAAATGGCAAGATATCCTTCTCTTTCACAGCTGAGTAATATTCCATTGTGTGTGTGGTGTGTATATATATACATGTATATATGTATATGTGTATACATATACATATATGTATGTATACACACACACACCACATTTTCTTTATCAGTTCATCCATCAGTGGACACTTACATTCTTTACATGCCTTGGCTGTTGTAAATAATGCTGCAATGAACATTGGGGTACAAATATCTTAGTTTTCTTTTTATTTGGTTAAATACCCAACAGTAGAATTACTGGATCATATCCTAGTTCTATTTTTAAATTTTTAAGAAAATTCCATAGTTTTCTATAGTGGCTGTACCAATTTACATTCCCACCAAGAGTGCACAAGGGTTCTCCTTTCTCCCCATCCTTGCCAACACTTGTTAGTGTGTTGTGTTAGTTGCTCAATCACGTCGAACTCTTGGGATGCCATGGACCATAACCCTCCAGGCTCCTCTGTCTATGGAATTCTCCAGGCAAGAATACTGGAGTGGGTTGCCATTTCCTTCTCCACTACACTTGTTATCTCTTATCTTTCTTATGACAATCATTCATTCCTTTTTTGTGTTTTTCTGGCTGCACTATGCGGCTTGTAGAATCTTATTTCCCCAGCCAGGGATTGAACTTGTGCCTTCTGCAGTGGAAGCACACAGTCTTAACCACTGGACCACCAGGGAAATCCCATGACCGTCTTTCTGACATAACTGGGGTGATAGCTCACTGTGGTCTAAATTTTCATTTCTCTAAGAATTAGTGATGTTGAGTTCTTTTTCCTATAGTTATCAGCCATTTCTATGTCTTCTTTAGAAAAATGTCTATTCAGTTTTTCTGCTGGTTTAAAAATCATGTTGTTTCACTATTGAGCTGAGTTCTTCTTATATTTTGAATATTGACCCTTTATCAGGTATGTGATTTACAAGTATTTTCTCCTATTCTGTAGGTTGCTTTTTCATTTTCTTGATGGCTTTCTTTGCTGTGCAAAAGATTTTAGTTTTATATAGTCCCACTTGTTTATTTTTCCTTTTGTTGCCTTTTTTGTTGTTGTTTTGGTGTCAAATCCAAAAAAATCATTGTCAAGATCAGTGCCAAGGAGCTTACTGCTTGTTTTCTTCTAGAAGTTATATGGTTTCAGGTCTTATGTTCAAGTCTTTAACCATTTGAGTTAATTTTTGTATTTAGTGTAAGATAGTGTGTAGGGAATATGCTATGCACAGGCCTGTACTATAATTAACAGGGCTTCTTTGAAAAATAAGAATGACTTTCTCATCACCCCCAGGCGAAAGGCTAGAAGCAGTAAAAAGTACAGCATGGAAAAACATCTTGAAAACAAGATGTTGAAGTACTGATGTGACTGATGGAAAACCATTAGTGACTGTTCTGTAACCAGAGCCTTGAGGGAGTTGCTGAGAAAGGTGTCACTCGC